CCTTTCTGAAACGCACAAATTTTTACAAAGCTCATCAGTCTGAAAAGCGAGGTGTGCGCTGATTGGCCAGCTATCCAGTGCGTTGTGATTGGCTGAATACCTCAAGCGTGTGACAGAAATGTTACGCCCCTCACCATACTGTGATGCCCTGTCCGGCTGGAACGACGAGACAAAAACACGAAATCCCATTATAAACCAGGCATCTGTTGCATCCAGTGGAGACATAATTATGGATTATAATGAGTTATACTGTCTTTTTACGCGTTGCGTTGCATCGCGCCACGTAAACATAAAACCATGTCTGCATTTGTGATCGGAGAAATGACAAACAACAAGCGCTACTCTACACTGCTCAAAACTCGCGGTTGAATCGTCAGTGGCAAATTCTTTAAATATAAAAAACATACTTACAGTCTGTGAGTCAGAACAGCCGGCATTGTAGTCTACTCTCCCAGGATCAGGAAACAGTCCTCCATAAAATGTGCTGCACACATCTGAATATTTGGGTTGAAGTGTTCTGGAACAGTGTTGTAAATACAACTTAACCACTGATTTCAAGTCGTGTCCATTTTTGGAAAAACAAACAAAGTAGTTTCGCTTTCACAATGAAATACACAGCGGGCTTGAGAACGGCACGGCTGGCGGATTTGACGAAGGATCGTTACAAACCCCAGTTTGGGGAATCTTAATGTAATGTTTAATGCACTTAATGTTGTTAATTACATATGCAATATATTTTCTTACTCTTCGCATTTTTATATCAATATGGTACAAGATTATCCTATTTAAATCAATGTGGTAAACGAGTTAGTTCAAAAGTAATCAAAAAGTAATCTGATTATATTTCCTTAAAATGTGTAATGTAATAGATTACGTTACTGATCACATTATTTGTCTTGTAATTTGGAATCAGTGATGGATTACAATTGGCAAGTAATCTACCCAGCTCCGGTTGCAGAATATATACAAAATACATATGACGTCGCTTTTATTCATATTTCTGAAAAGGATAAAATAGAATATTCTGTAGCTTGACCATTTTGCTAAAACTGAATTATTTAACAGAATTCATGTCAAAACATCTGTTTGTCATTGAACAATATGGCTGCATTTTTTTTTTTTTTTAGTACTGCCCTGAAAAAGCTATTTCACTCTACAGATGTTTACATACAAAATAATAACTGAATTTACCGTATTTTTCAGATTATTTCAGAAACTTATTCTTGGTGTGTCACGTGTATGTAAGTCCACTGTGTGGCAGGAGATGTTGATTTTCTCTGGGGTCAGGTGAAAGCTGTCATCACTTCTGTAACGAGGGAGGCGTGACGACAAAGTGGGGATCCAAATGCAAGGCTTTAATAAGAGCGTAGTCAAATAGGCGTGGTCAACAACAGCAAACAATGATGGCAGAGGCAAGGCAAAAGAGTAATCCAGATAATCAGGCAATGGTCAGGGCAGGCAGCAAAATAATCATAAACAAGAAAACAGTCCAGGGATCAAAACACAAAGGCAAGGAATCAGAGAAACTAGAAACACGGAAACTTAGAAACCACGAAAGAGCTATAAGTGATGCACTTGATGAGTCCGGGCAAAGGATTATGGGAAATGGAGTCCTGAGTGAATGGCGTGCCCTCTAGAGGAGCTCATGGGCACTCCAGCTGGAAATCATGACAACTGCTCTATCAGGACTCCTCGAGGAGAAGAAGGGTGGATGAACTCTCACTGATCTTCACTCAAGCGTGTGCTGTTTTCACTCTGTGCCAGACCGCGGTATTGTTGTGTATTGATTCAAGTTAATTAGCCTAAGTGAATTGTTTCTTGTTGTTACGCTTTGATAATAAGTGCTATGTTGATTTAGTCACCTTATTTGTTGGTAAGACTATCCTTAGCTGTTTTTTATGTGCTATTGCGTAGACAGTAGCTTATTCATTCTTTTTGTTGGATTTCTGTGGAAGCAAGTCCTGAGTGAATGGCGTGCCCTCTAGAGGAGCTCATGGGCACTCCAGCTGGAAATCATGACAACTGCTCTATCAGGACTCCTCGAGGAGAAGAAGGGTGGATGAACTCTCACTGATCTTCACTCAAGCGTGTGCTGTTTTCACTCTGTGCCAGACCGCGGTATTGTTGTGTATTGATTCAAGTTAATTAGCCTAAGTGAATTGTTTCTTGTTGTTACGCTTTGATAATAAGTGCTATGTTGATTTAGTCACCTTATTTGTTGGTAAGACTATCCTTAGCTGTTTTTTATGTGCTATTGCGTAGACAGTAGCTTATTCATTCTTTTTGTTGGATTTCTGTGGAAGCAAATATTTTTCATCTTTTGTTTTCTTAAGGTTAGTTTGATCCTTTGGTAGCTGTTGGTCATTTTTTGGTTATCCAGCATCAAGTGTGTTGAAATGTCTTCTTCTGCATTCTACAGTACGGACGTAAATGTACTTTCCCTTCAGCCTGAGGTTTATTCATTTCACTTTTGGTGTGAAAAGGCTTTTATATTTGCCGAAAAAATATAACTTTTTTATTTTAAAAACAAACAAGCAAGCCCTGTCCAGATTTGAAAAGTAACGCTAAAGTAATGTAACGCATTACTTTCCATAAAAAGTAACTAAGTAACGTAATTAGTTACTTTTTTATGGAGTAACGCAATATTGTAATGCATTACTTTTAAAAGTAACTTTCCCCAACACTGTGAAACAGTCCTCCATAAAATGTGCTGCACACATCTGAATATTTGGGTTGAACTGTTCTGGAACAGTGTTGTAAATACAACTTAACCGCTGATTTCAAGTCGTGTCCATTTTTGGAAAAACAAACAAAGTAGTTTCGCTTTCACAATGAAATACACAGCGGGCTTGAGAACGGCACGGCTGGCGGATTTGACGAAGGATCGTTACAAACCCCAGTTTGGGGAATCTTAATGTAATGTTTAATGCACTTAATGTTGTTAATTACATATGCAATATATTTTCTTACTCTTCGCATTTTTATATCAATATGGTACAAGATTATCCTATTTAAATCAATGTGGTAAACGAGTTAGTTCAAAAGTAATCAAAAAGTAATCTGATTATATTTCCTTAAAATGTGTAATGTAATAGATTACGTTACTGATCACATTATTTGTCTTGTAATTTGGAATCAGTGATGGATTACAATTGGCAAGTAATCTACCCAGCTCCGGTTGCAGAATATATACAAAATACATATGACGTCGCTTTTATTCATATTTCTGAAAAGGATAAAATAGAATATTCTGTAGCTTGACCATTTTGCTAAAACTGAATTATTTAACAGAATTCATGTCAAAACATCTGTTTGTCATTGAACAATATGGCTGCATTTTTTTTTTTTTTTAGTACTGCCCTGAAAAAGCTATTTCACTCTACAGATGTTTACATACAAAATAATAACTGAATTTACCGTATTTTTCAGATTATTTCAGAAACTTATTCTTGGTGTGTCACGTGTATGTAAGTCCACTGTGTGGCAGGAGATGTTGATTTTCTCTGGGGTCAGGTGAAAGCTGTCATCACTTCTGTAACGAGGGAGGCGTGACGACAAAGTGGGGATCCAAATGCAAGGCTTTAATAAGAGCGTAGTCAAATAGGCGTGGTCAACAACAGCAAACAATGATGGCAGAGGCAAGGCAAAAGAGTAATCCAGATAATCAGGCAATGGTCAGGGCAGGCAGCAAAATAATCATAAACAAGAAAACAGTCCAGGGATCAAAACACAAAGGCAAGGAATCAGAGAAACTAGAAACACGGAAACTTAGAAACTACAAAAGAGCTATAAGTGATGCACTTGATGAGTCCGGGCAAAGGATTATGGGAAATGGAGTCCTGAGTGAATGGCGTGCCCTCTAGAGGAGCTCATGGGCACTCCAGCTGGAAATCATGACAACTGCTCTATCAGGACTCCTCGAGGAGAAGAAGGGTGGATGAACTCTCACTGATCTTCACTCAAGCGTGTGCTGTTTTCACTCTGTGCCAGACCGCGGTATTGTTGTGTATTGATTCAAGTTAATTAGCCTAAGAGTTAATTAGCCTAATGTTACGCTTTGATAATAAGTGCTATGTTGATTTAGTCACCTTATTTGTTGGTAAGACTATCCTTAGCTGTTTTTTATGTGCTATTGCGTAGACAGTAGCTTATTCATTCTTTTTGTTGGATTTCTGTGGAAGCAAATATTTTTCATCTTTTGTTTTCTTAAGGTTAGTTTGATCCTTTGGTAGCTGTTGGTCATTTTTTGGTTATCCAGCATCAAGTGTGTTGAAATGTCTTCTTCTGCATTCTACAGTACGGACGTAAATGTACTTTCCCTTCAGCCTGAGGTTTATTCATTTCACTTTTGGTGTGAAAAGGCTTTTATATTTGCCGAAAAAATATAACTTTTTTATTTTAAAAACAAACAAGCAAGCCCTGTCCAGATTTGAAAAGTAACGCAAAAGTAACGTAACGCATTACTTTCCATAAAAAGTAACTAAGTAAGGTAATTAGTTACTTTTTTATGGAGTAACGCAATATTGTAATGCATTACTTTTAAAAGTAACTTTCCCCAACACTGTCAGTCAGTATTGTAGCCTAACATGGCCACTTAATTATTGACATGATGCTTAATCTGTGTATCCCGAGGAGAATCGGTCCCCTGGTGTGTCACACGACCCGTGCATGCACATCCTCCTCCGAGCCCACACTATGGCGTCGTAATGCCGCACAGTAGTCCTCCGTGAGAGAGACACACTGCGCATGCTCAGTATCCTCCCTGCTCCAGTGGGAGTCATCGAGCGCCTTCTGTGCTGTCTACATTCTCAACTGTGCATGAACTGAAGTCGGCTCGTCTGCGATCCTCGTGATGGACTCTCAGAAAGTAAGTGGCACACAATGAAAGTGTTTTGAGTCTAATATCTGAAATGTCGCAGCGGCCCGTCGCTCACGTGCGCAGGCGCACCGTTAACAATCGTGAATAGACACTCCTTTACATTCATACTAATGCAACGTAAAACGAATATGCAGTGTTCACTGTTAGTGCCATCTGGTCTCGTGGCCTTTATGAATTGACATTGGCGTTTTATAAATAGTGTTTGACCTGTAGCTGTAGCTATATTCATGATTAGGATTTATATTAGACCATGTGTTTTGTGTTGCCGGTGGATAAAATGTTACCTTGATGTCCGGTGTTGCGTTGCATCGGACTGAGCCCTTGTTACATAATACGCATGTATTCTGTGCTATATATAAATTACAGTAGCTCAACGTTGTGGCCCATTCTGAAAAATGTGTTATTACGTTGATAAACGATGCAGGTTAGCCTATATAACGAGAGAGTAGATTTGTGAACATTAGGTTAAATTACGAAATATTAACATTTTGCTAGTATTACTGAAGCTACAGGATTCATAAGACTCGTAAGTATCATATATCATAGGTTTCTGTGATTGCATAGCACCTTATGCATGTTAAGATAGCTGTGAGGAAGCTGTCAAAGTCATCTTTGTCTTGAGTGTTTGCATAGGTGTGCTGCATCTCTGTGTATTAGTGTCTGTCCTTGGCAACATTAAATGTAAGTCACGTTGATAAGTTTAGCATGGTGTATAATGACTAATTATAATGCAATAATTATTATGCCGCTTCATATTTGCCATGTTTTGATTATTGAATCAAGAATCATGTGTATATGGTAGGTAATACACATTTGTGCATGTTTCGGTTGAGGCAGGGAATAAACTAGCACACAATCCGACTGTATTGTCAGGAAGTGGGTCATGCCTTCAAAAGGAGTCCGATTTCAAAGGCGATGCTGAATGTAACTTTGGATTTTTTTTCAACGGGTGGTCGCTCTGTTCACCTGGAACTCAAAATTCAATCTCACCTGGAGTCTAGCAGTAAGAGGAAACGTGAGCGGATCAGATTGCGGCCCCTGAAAGTTAGATCAGCTTTACTGGCCTCCATAAACGCCTCAATGATACGTGTAAGCATGTGAATGTGTTACAAAGGTGGACCTTATTGTTGGCTGGTTTCTAATTCTGCGCTTCAGGGTGTGGATCTGTGGTGGTCAAAGAGCAAATTACAGATAGTTAGAACCGAATCTGTCTTATACATGTCTGAACTAGGTCAGCTATGGCTTCTCATGTTTCCCTTTGCAGTTGGCTGTGTTGACTAATGGTGCGTTCAAGTCATGTCGGATGGATCGTATTTACGAGTTGAACGCACATGAACGCCACCACAAAGTCATTATTATGAGTGGGAAACTCGAAATTTTCTTTAAGCCCCGAGTTTCTGAGTTGGGGGCGTGTCAATGAGAAACATGGCGGAATCGATGGATGCAATGTCTGTAGTTGACGGTACATTTTTGTTTAAATTGATAGTTTAGTTGTCCTATAAACTTAAATTGGTCATGTTCTTGTTACGCAGCTGAAATCCAAGTAAAAAAATGCAGACCCTGTTGTATTTTCTTGTATTTATTAAAAGAAGGTACACCGCCATCTTGTGCCAACTGACTTGAACGCACCTGACGTCGTAATTACGACTCGTCAACTCGTAAGTACGAACGTCCCAGGAGGACTTGAACGCAGCATAAGCTTCGAGTTGTGGAACTGCAAGCGGAATGTAACAGACAGACCGTTTCAAGCGTGTGAAATCTTTAGACATTTTAAAACTGATCTGAATGGTAAACATCCTCAATAGTTTAAGACAAATATCAGTGCCAATATTCCTTTAAAGGGCCTGCTCACATGATATTTACTCGGTTATTTCTTTGTTTTTCTTCACACATCACATGTCCCATTGTCTAATATCTCATCTCAAGCATGTACTTTACTGATGCTATTGTCTCTTTGGTAAACAAGTACACTAACTTAAGAAAAAAATATTAGAGGCATAATTATTTGGTGTGGTGGAAACAATGTGTGAAAAAATACCCTATTGGGCACCCTATTTATGTTTTAAATGCATGTTATAGATCTTATTGTAAGCAATTCGTACATGGATTTTTGTGTGTGTGTGTTAATCGTATTAGATCTAGTTTTCTCTGGTGACATATGCAGGACTTCTCCAATCATTTAGTTTGCATAAACTCCGCCCCCGCAAGATTGCCTACATTTTTGAGTGCCACGCCCACATTTCAACAACCGATGCATAGAACCAAGTCTCCGCTCACCATCTTTTCTTTTTCAATATGTTAAGCATTACACTCAGATGTGCCTCACAATATGGAAGAAAAGATCTGTTTTATTGCAACTTTAAACATGCAACAGTGAGTAGCTGGTAACACTTTATTTCACAGTGTCTTTGTTACACGTTACATGTAGGCCTACTTACTATAGTAATAAGAGCCAACCTGGAGCTAACCAAATATTTTTATGATGGATTTTCATATTTGAAGATTGAAAGTTTGGGTTTGGGACAAAGGTTGAACAATAAAGGCAAGTAGCAAAATGTATTAGTGTTTTAAGAAATGCAAGCTGGGACAAACCCAACTAATGCAAATATTGTGTATTTGATGTGTATATTTGACCATATATAGAGTGAGAAAGAGCAGTCTCTCTGGATTGGGCCCAAAAGCCTTTATCCTTAACTAGCATTCTCTCCTGGACTCAGACTATAGAGTGTGGTGCGGATTTGAGGGAATTAGGGACCGACTGACCAGAATAGTACACTGTCATTCTGTCTCCACCCTATTGTTGACTTTGTTTATGTGTTTGTACAGTGTCTGTACAGACATTACATTTCATATCTTGCCTGCGATACCTTTTCATGCATAATGGTGTGATCTACAACATACCTAATTTCATTAAAGTACATATCAACATTAGTTCATTGAGAATGATTGTCCTTTCTGCTGAACTAATCCCTCAGCCTGCTTAATCATGGCTTGCCGCTCTCTCACAACATCTCATCTGATAAGCATTTACTCCTCTCTGTTATTCATGCATATTGGGTTTCTTTAACCAGCCTCCCTGCAAGCACTAGGAATTCTGTAAAGAAACCTGTGGATGTAGTGTCAATAATTCAGTGCTTGCTTGTAGGGTGGAACAACAACAGCTTTTAAAGTACCAATGACATTTTTGTTTAGTAATCTTCCCTAAATTCCATGACAATTCTGTCATTATTTACTCACCCTTCTGTCATTCCAAATGCGTGTGATTTTGCTGTTGCCTTACAGAAAACGTAGAAAACAAACTGAGACATGAAACAGCTCAACCCGTCCTCCATGAGGGTCACATAGCATCAACTTTTAACAGTGTTGCATCAATAATGAAATAAACCTCCTCTAAGGGACAAAAATGGTCATTTATCACTACAGTTTGTGTCTTGTCTCGTGGATCTTAACTTTGCTGGTTAACCCATTGGATTGGTTAACCTGAAGGACTCCCAAATTAGCCTTATGATTGGCCTCAAAAAGGCTGTGGCAAGCCATCAGATGGCTCAAATCCAAAGAATACTTGGGTTTTTATGTGCACACTAGGCCAGGGATCTTCCACCCTGCTCCTGGAGAGCAACCTCAGATTTTCAAGGGATCCTAAAGATCACTTCTTTAGATGGTTCAGGTGTGTTTGATTAAGGTTGAAGCTAAATTTATTGGGTCTCCAGGAGCAGAAAATAAGGTTATTTTTATTGGTCATAACTAGTGGTCGACCGATATGGTTTTTTTGACAGCCGATACCGATGCCGATATCTTGGAAAGCAGGGTGGCCGATGGCCGATATAATTTTATTTATTTTAATTCATATTTAAGAAATTTGAAATCATTTGAAAATGGATTAAAAAAATAAACGTGTAAAATAAACATACTGTAGAAGACAGAGTATTTTTCACAAATAAATAAATATTTAATAAAAATGTAATTAAAAAGGAAGTAAACACTGTAACCAACAGAGCACTCAGTATTCTGGGAAGTTTGTGTGCATTGGGAATCATATTTTTTCAAATAAAGCCAAGGTAACACTCATTTTACATACAGCACACAGAGAAAATGACGTGAATATGACAGTGGGCAAATGCATAAAGTGCAGCATAATTTGAAATCAGTTACGAGTTTGTCTATCGTGTGCCTCCAGTGAAGCTGATCTCTCCTCCTGTCCGTATTCAATTCGCACGGACCATAGGATCGACCGTCACAGAACACGCGATCATGCAGGTCACATGCACACTTCACAAGATCTCAACTAGATTTGACTAAGTATGCAAGGTTTGTGAAATTAAATGTTCATTAGTCAATCAAAGATTTGTTTAAATTATATAAATGCGTATTTGCGGAATGCTGATGGCAAACGAAAAAGAATTATAATGTTTGCCTTTAATAATATTAGAAAACAGAATAAACTTATCGGCCAATGCCGATATTTGAAAAATGGCAGATATCGGCCGATATATCGGCCTTGGTGATGTATCGGTCAACCACTAGTCATAACTGGAGAGAAATTTTACAAACACTGGACACTAGAAACTTGGGTTTGCGCACACTATCAAACAGAGTAGGCTATACTTTGAAAGGCTGTGTATTTGGCTTGATGCATATGCTACAATTTTTGCCTAAATACTGAAGTATACTATGGGCTTTAGGTGGGTGAAGCGTGGCCTGATCCAAGCTTTAGTTAGTTGGGATGGGGACCTGCTGACTTCTCCTGGTGATATAGACTGGAATTGGAAGGAGCACTCTGAGGAACTTCTGAACCCTGAGGATACACCCTCAGTAAGGCAGGGATGGAGGACTCAGGGCAGTCATTGCCCATTTCCCTGGCTGATGTGGCTGAGGTAGTTAAAAAGTTCCCAAGTGGCAAGGTGTTTGGGATGGATGATATTAGCCTTAGGATACTGGATGCTGCAATGCTGCTATTTGTGGATGATGTTGTCCTGATGGCCTCGTCG